CCCCTTGATCCTGCCCTACCAGGTCTCCCACACCCACCTCCCCACCAATTTGGATCGCTTGTTGTTCCCTTGTCCCTGGGTTTGTTATCCCCTCCTCTTCCCTTCCCCCCTCCTCCCCCTCTCCCATGCTGAACCATATTTTCAATAATAAAAAGAAATTGGGAGGATTGGAGAAAAGGACTAACAAAGCCAGATAAGAAAGAAAAACACATGAATAGACAAGCAATTACATAGGAAAGAGTTTCTTCTCAGATTTAGAGGTTTCCCTCCAAAGTGCTTAAGTCCATTTTGAATGACATCCCAAATGGGCATTGCCGGCAAGAGAAGAGGAAGTGAACCAAATGGCACATGATGGGTACTAAGGGCAAACGAGTTTCAAGACATTTTAAAATAGCACATATCAAGACCAAAGCACGATTTTTGCAATTATATTCTTTAGTTCATCCACATTGGAATGTAACCTGAACTCTGAAGTGATGGGTAAGAGTATAAATTAACATAAAAAATTCTACTTAAAAACTACAGTGATAAAGGTAAATTTTCAGTGGACAAGCTAGGAGCCAAAAACTCCTAAAAATATGCAACAATTACTCATAACTTACAATTGTTGTATTGCTTTCAGATGAAACAGTTATTAATAGGCATTTCATATTTATGAAGATAACCCCGACACCCTAAATTTGAGTAAATTATCTACACATCATCATCAACACCATCAACCCTAGCCTCTGTTCTCAATGCAATATCTACATCTTCATAAGACTATGAAGAAACTATGGAAACACACATTTATATTCAACACTAGGTTTATTGTTGCTGGATCATATCCATAGTGACTACTTGAATCTACCCAATCTGCATGTATTAAAGGTGAGCACAAATAAAAAGGAATAAATTTTTTTAGAAAACTAATTAAAAAATCACTTTTACAAACTAATGAGATCCTCTAAAAAATTTGATGAAAAACTAATTTAAAAAGACAATTTCGTTTATTTAAACCATTTCATTAGTAAGAATTAAATATTTTAAGAGTCAGCACTGAATTGCTAGCAACAATTGACCTTAAAAATTTTGTAGTTTCAATTGGATCATGTAAGTAGTATACAATCTTCATTCATGCTAAAATGCTTAAAAGTTTTAAAATACCATATACATAGTTCTCAGCTCTCCTGTTATGATCAAAACGTACTCTCTTGGGCCACTTTACATAAAACAGATACACTCGAATTTCTCATGGTAATAAGGCAAAAGGGTAAAATTTGTTTCATTGAATAGACTCATGGCTACTTTTCCTTTTTTCCAGTTAAGGTACTAAAGTTTGTGGCATATCCTGTTCTGGTTCATTGTGCTCTATTATTTTATGTCAGTGATCAAATGGTCACTTAAAAAGAAACATGGCAGCATTCATCAATCAAAAAAATCTGCTTTCAGAGACGAAGAGTAGAATTCCAGAAAGTACCCACCGTAGACAGTCTCCAATTGTAACAGATAAAACATTGATTCCAATTAATGGAAAGGAAATTCACTAACAAGAGATGTCAAATTGTTGCTAGCTGACCTTGCGCCCTATAGTTCTTTACAATCCCAGTTTCAATGTCATGTAACAATGTCAGATAACAAGCCAATATATATTCCAAACCCAATGGCATGTTCCTGTAAGCCAACCTCAGTGACAGATAAAACTAAGTCATTCATGAAAGCCATTTAATTGCCATCTTGCAAACTGTATTTTCAAAACTACAAAACCCAATTAAAGTAATGTGGGGCTGAAATATTCAACAGAACAATGTTTCAGAAGGACTTTTCAAACAGGAAACACACCTATGTCTATTGAAAGAAAACACCGGGGCTTTCCCATTTTTGGCTTTTGTATTCAGCTCTGTTTGTTACATACTCCTTCCATCAAATGAGTAAACAGGAAGGAGTGGGGGCAAAAAACCTATTATTTTGCAGCTGCTTCTAACAACCAACAAAAGTTGCTAGAGAGATCATAGATAGACATCCATGTAAAATTAGGCAGCCAAGCTGCTTTCTTGCCTGATTTAAAATAAGCTCAATCAGTAGGAAATAAAGATGCTATAATACACAGCCCGATGAGCAGCTGAAGACAGGAATACACTCATGAGGTTTCAGAATTCAAGATACAGCTCACACGATCTTTGAATGAAGTTGAGGACATCTCTCCTTATATTTTTTCTTAACCACTGAATGAATAAGTAGAATGAACATGGAGAATATTACCCGAAATAGATAAACACGCACAGATTCTTAAATATGATCCTGAGGCTTGACAATTATAAAAAGAAAATGCTTTGCTCCTGTTTCTTTGTTACTTATAAAATGATATCATTTTGGAAATTCTAATGTATGAGAGTTTTATACTTCCAAGAATAATTTCCATAATAGTCAGCAGTAAAATTTAAGCTATGAAGACCTGGTTGCCAGCAATTATACTTCAGTTGGAAAACACATACATCGACTGTATTGCACGGCAAAAAATTTAAAGGCCATTTAATAAAATTAGGAAGTCAAAATCAAGCCAGTTATGCAGCATTTCACTAGTCTCGAGAATAAAGAACATCAGAAGTAATAGGAAACGTAAACACAGCCTTACTTTTGACGGTCGCTGTCCGAGTACAGTTGTAGAGAATGGCCAACTCTCCAAACACCTTTCCTGGACCCATGGTGCACAGCTTCACGCCTTCTTTCGTCACTTCGACCTTCCCATCTGAAACGAGGGGGGAGGGCAACATCTTAATTCCCTGGTATGCTCCATTTCATTTGTTGTATTGTCAATAGCACATAAGGCATGACAGGATTATTTTTTTAAACATTAAAAAACAAGTTTTAAACACATTCTCTCTTCATCGCTGATAATAAGTTGAGGTGCTAGTAAAAGAAGCACCAGGTAGAGAAATTATTCCAAGTGCTGACATAGAACTCTATGATAAAATAGCACACATATATGCAATTATCCCAAGTGCAGTAGTAGAAACTATGGAAATTCCAATTTTAAAATAACTTTGAATATGAAAGAAAAACCAATGATTTCCATCTTTAGCATACTTTGTTCTTGGAAATGCTCATTTGAGTCAGGGCCCCATGAAGAAAAGGAAGATTATTCTGACCCTTGTGTATTATTTCTATCCTTTTTTTTTAATTGTAAATTTTCTCTCTCTCTTTTTTTGTTTTGTTTGTTTTCATTTTGTAAGATCATTTTATCAGGGGCTCTTACAGCTCTTATAATAATCCACACAGCAATTGTATCAAACATATTTGCACATATGTTGCCATCATCAAGTTCTAAACATTTACTTTCTATTTGAGCCCATGTTATCAGCTCCTCTTTTCCTTCCATCCCCCCTCCCACCCGCATGACCCCTTGATAAATTATACATTATTTTCATGTCTTATGCTCACTGCTGTCTCCCTTCCCCCATGGTTTCTGTTGTTTATCCCGTGTGTGTGTGTGTGTGTGTGTGTGTGTGTGTGTGTGTGTGTTTATGTGTCCATCTTTGCAATCGGTTTCTTCTTCCCACTTTCCCCCTGTCCTCCTGGTATAGGTTCTTGAGGGGTTTATCTGACCTAGATTCCATGTGTCGTGAGCTCTTATCAGCACCTGTGTACATTCTAACCTACTGGTCTGGCCCACAGTGAAAAGCAGTACTGGGGTCATGAAAGTGGGGGATGAGGAAGCCTCAAGGAACCAGAGGAATATTGTGTGTTTCATTGGTACTATTCTATGGCCTGGTTGACTCATCCCTTCCTTGTGACCCTTCTGTGAGGGGATGGGCTATTGTCTACAGATGAGTTTGGGGTCTCTGCTTTGACCTCCCTTGTTCTCAACAATATGTTTGTTTGCGGTCTTCTGATGCCCATTACCCGATCCCATTGACAACTCATGATAGCACAGGCTGGTGTGCTTCTGCCATGTGGGCTGTTGCTTCTCTGCTAAATGGCTGCTTGTTTGTCTCGTTTACCTTCAAGCTTTTAAGAGCCTAGACACTATATCTTTGGATAGGCCGGCACCATCAGCTTTCTTCACCACATTTGCATGTGCACCCATTCTGTCCTCAGCGATCATGCCGGGAAGGTGAGCATCACAGAATGCCAGGCTGTTAGAACAAAGTGTTCTTGCTTTGAAGCAGGGCTTGAGCAGAGGCCCAAAGTCTGTCCACTACCTCAATGTAGTGCCATATAAATATATGTACATAGGTCAATACCTCGATTTTTAAGAATTAATGTTATTTACATATGTACATACCTATGTTTATACCTCTATTCACAGCTTGGCTTCCTAGATCTTTCCTCTGTTTCCTTTTTCTTCCTCCTGCCCCATCACACTTGCCCTTCTTGTGCCTCTTAGTAAGTTCTCTCAGCTAGATAGCTGTTGCTCCAAAAGCCCCAAGATCTCTATGTCCTCGTTGTTGATTTTAAGTCATTTATTTGTTCCCCTGTCTATAGCGTTGTTTTCTCACAGCTCTCTTTCCCCAGATCCTCCCCACCCCAAGTCCCTCAGGAACCATTGGTCCTATTGCTTTCTCCTGGAGCTTGCTTCCTTTGTCTATCTTATATTGGTGGGCAAACCAATAACAACAGAGACAAACCAAAATCAAAAGATTGAATAAAAAGAGAAAATAAATATATTTACATATGTACATGCCTGTATTTAGGTCTCTATGTATGCCCTTTGCCTCCTACTTCTTTCCTCTATTTCCTTTTGCTTTCCTCTTGTCTCACCACCACGCTCAGCCTTCATTTGGGTTTCAGTAATTTCTCTCGGTTACATTGCCCTTGATCACTCCCTAACAGTCCTCCCACCCACTCCTTGCCACTGGTTTTGAACCACTCGTTCTTCCCTTGTCCCTGGGTTGGCCAACAACTCTTCCCTTCACCCACCTCCCATTCTCCCATGTCCCTGCGGAACCATCGGTTCCGTTGTTTTCATCTCCACATTGTTTATCCAGCCTATCTTATCTAGATAGACGTGCAGAGATAATAATATGCACATAAAATTGCGGATGGCCTTGACAGCACCTAATGAAGTGACACATAAAAACAAGGTGACAGCAGTAGCAACAACAACAAACAAAAAAGCCAATGACATACAAAATCTAAAAGAAGAAGAAAAAAGGAAAAAAAGAAAGAGAGAAAAGCCTGTTAATAGTTCAAGGTCTGTTTGTTGACCTTTAAGAGTGTTTTTCAGTCAGCCTGGCCCCAAAGTCTATTTTTGATGCTCCCTCCAGACTTTCTTGCTTTGCTCCCCCTGCCGTTGTATTGCACACCGTTAGTGTTTTGCATCAGCGTGGTGGGGTCAGCTCAGTCACACATCCCACACTGTGTCTCCAGTGCTGTCCCATAGATCTATGTGCATATATTTATAGGTTTAGTAATAGGGTAGCAGATGGACATTGGGCCTCCACTCACGTACTCCCTCAATACAAGAACACTTTGCTCAACGAAACGGTCATTCATGATACCCACCTTCCCAACACGATCACTGAAGACAAACGTGTGCATAAGCAAATGTGGTGAAGAAACTGATGGTGCCTGGCTATAAAAAGATATAACATCTGGGGTCTTAAAGGCTTGAAAGTAAACAAGCAGGCATCTAGGCCAGAAGCAACAAAGCCCACATGGAAGAAGCACACCAGCTTGTGTGATCACGAGGGGTCGAAGGAACCAGGAATCAAGCACCAAAGAGCAAAAAATCATATAATCAGGAATGCGGGGGAGTGCAGGATGGGGACCCAGTGCCCATCTGTGGACAACTGGACATCCCTTGCATAGGGGTAGTAGGGAGGATATGAGTCACTCAGACTGCAGTGCAGCATCGATGGAACATACAACTTTCCTCTAGTTCTTAAATGTTTCTCCACCCCCCCACCTCCACTATCATGATCCAAATTCTACCTTACAAATCTGGTTAGACCAGAGGATGTACAGTGGTGCAGATAGGAACTGGAAGCACCGGGAATCCAGGACAGATGAACCCCTCAGGACCAGTGGTGACAGTGGTGACACCGGGAGGGTGGAGGGAGGGTTGGGTAGAAAGGGGGAACCGATTACAAGGATCTACATACAACCTCCTCCCTAGGGGATGGACAACAGAAAAGTGGGTTAAGGGAGACTTTGGGCAGTGTAAGATATGATAAAATAATAATAATTTATAAATTATCAAGGGTTCATGAGGGAGGGGGGAGTGGGGAGGGAGAGGGGAAAAAAATAGAAAAATGAGGAGCTGATTCCAAGAGCCCAAGTGGAAAGCAAATGTTTTGAGAAAGATGAGGGCGACGAATGTATAGGTGTGCTTTACACAATTGACATATGTATGGATTGTGATAAGAGTTTATGAGGCCCCAATAAAATGATTTTTTTTTAAAGAGAGAGAAAATAATAATAATAACTAGCAAAAAAACCACCCCAAAACCCAAAGCATACATAATTCCAGGTCTGTCTGCTGACCTTTATGACCATCTCCCCACCAGTGAGGGGTTTTCTGAAAACTGCCCTCCTAGCCTGAAGTCTATTTTGGGGGCTCTTCAGGGGCTTTGTGGCTTGGCTTTGCTCCTGCAGCTGATCTGTTATGTCCCCTTCTTGGTTCACCCCACTCTGTGTGGGGTGTTCAGACCAGACTCACTCCCTGCAGTGTGGTCTTCTGTCGCGGTACGCTCCAAGACCGTGTCTGGAGCTGGTGTCTGCCCTACCATTCTCTCGGGGCCTTCGCAGCTCCATGCAGGGACGTCATCTTCAGAGCTTGGTCTAGTCCCTCGCTCTCTCTTTTTCCTTCTTGGCTTGCTTCCTTGTGGGCATGGTAGGCCAGCCCCTCTCCCTAACCTGTAGGTTTAACATTGTACTCTGTCGCACGTATTTCTTGGGAGGAGGTCAGTTTGGTTCTGATTGGGGCCGGTCTTGCATTATTTCATCGAAGCTGTGGTCTCTTTAGTTTTAAACATCTTGACTGATTTTGGCAATATGGTGTGTCTGCTCTCCCACCCAGCGATACTGACTGTGACAGAAACAGGCTGAGTTGAGAGAAAAGAGACACTTGGACCATTTATATTGCACAAAGGATTTGGAAAAACGAAACAGATGAAAAAAGAAAGGAAACATCAGCCATAGAATGCCTACCGCTGGCCACAAGTATGGAAAGCGATATTTATGAAGAGAAAATACTTTTTTCTCCCAAAGCCATGCTATGTAGATTACAAATTCTATCACAACACCACAGGGAGAGAAATAGCATGTCAACAAATTCTGCTCTCTACTTAATCGTCCTCGTCTATGACTCCTTCAAGTTACTTATCCACTGTCTGCAGGAGAAAAGCCTAGCTAATGCTTGGCCAAAGAATTAGCTAGTGATTGAGGGGAACTAATGCCAATTGAGTGTTTTCCAAACACCAGGCCTTCATGCATTCATTTAACAACTGGTCCTCTTCTGTGTACATCCTGTGCTATTGAGCATTTTGGAGTGCTGACTTGAAATGAATTCCTTCTACGTTTTAAATCATCATATTCTGAACACAATGCTAATTAACTGACTTCGATATTTGACACAATAATAATTGTATAAACAATACATTTGATATGCTAATTATTTTTAAACACCTTTGGCTATAAAATCTTATATTTAAAAAATGTTTTATTCATACAAGTGGGTACATAATCAACATTTTAGGGAACACTAGCCTACCCTAAAGAGCATTTCATCAAATGGTTATCATTGGA